AACTATACATTATATATTTAAACTTTTTCTATTTGCATTTTAACAACTGTTTCAATTTGTTGCTGTTGTTTAGTTTTCTTCTTTTGTATGCTGCTGGGTATTAGCTGCACATCAGCATTGGCACGTGTAGACAATAATTGGTCTCATAGGCGACCAAACATTACAGTGACCCAAAATCAACGGGGTCAAGCTGGTTATCGACCAGCCAATGTTGGCTATCAACAACCTTTAGTACATAATCAAACTCATGCACATTCATACAACCAACATCAACAGCAGCAGCAATGGCAACAACAGACCAACAATCGTTCTCAATACAATCAACCTGGCTATAGACCAGCCATAAATAATCCTGCTCAAGTTAATAACTATAGACCACAACAACCTTCGTATGGTCAAGGAACATTTAATCAAACACGTCCTGCACCGAATCAACCTCAATATCCTACATATGGACAAAGTTCTTTTAATCAAACACGTCCTGCATGGCAGCCACAACCATCGCAATATCCCGCCTATGGACAACAAAACACCTTAAATCATACAAAACCTCAACTACCCATCAATCCACAATATCCCGCCTATGGACAACAAAACACCTTAAATCATACAAGACCTAGTTTCCCTCTACCTTCGGCTCCTCAAGTTCCTGCTTATCCTATACTACCAAATAATCCCAACAATAAACCAGCAATGCCTTCAAATTCTTGGACTCCACCCGCAAATCAAACCCTTATATATCCTCAACTACCTAATAAAGATATGCCACCAGCTTCTCCAGCTATTGGCAGTAATGGTATACCTTAGCACCTCTACAACCAGCTCCTCAAAACCCTCAAGGCCCTCATAATTGGCATTCTGGAGGTCAAGCCGTTTTAAGCTATGGTCCGGGTCATTATCCCTTGCCAGCAGGTAATACAAATAAAACTCCACCTTCACAGCAGGGCAGCAGTAATCCTTATGCAAATATGTTTAATTAATATTGAGAGAAGGATTTTGTAAATGTTTGAGAGAAATAAATTATTAAAAAAAAGCACTATAATTGAACAAATATTTTAAAGTGATCAACAAATTTGAGGTAAGGAGATCATAGGTTAATAAAAGCGTTCCCAGTATTTACAAATTACATATTCTGAATTCTTAAAGATGTCCGTCAATCTTTGGGAATGTTTACAAAAATACTAAATTTCTATATCTGATTTGGTAGCATTTTGGTCAGGGCCCTTCAGAATTGTAGGAAGTGGTCAGATCATTTTTGTCTAATACTATCCTAATGCCATACTTATAGAGAAGTGTTAATTATAGACCGATCATCATACAATTCGAAGAATTTTTGGTTCATATAAAAATGTAAATGTAAAATTTGATTCCATTTCTATTTACAAAACTATAATCTTTAATCTTAAAATTTAAAGAAACTGGCCCATAATAACAACACACACACTTGACCTTGCATGACCTTTAATAAAAAGGTTAATTATATTGTAAATTACACTAGTCTAGATTGGTTTCCCTGTTAATGTGCTTTAATAAAAGACTTGTGTTAAATTTAATGTGTGTTTAATATTTAAAGACTCGCACATGTTGGAATTTTTAAAATTAAATTAATTTTAAGTTCCAAAAATGCAATAACAACGCCCTCTAGTGTTCAGTAGGAAAACAATATGAAAGTGGTTTGTGTCTAAAATATGCCACCGCACTGTGTTGAAATTTAAACTAATCAAACTGTTAAATTTAAACACAAACGTTTCATAGAACGAGGTCAAATAACAATATATTAGATGAAGTTTTTTTAAGAAGCTGATGGATGATGAAGTTTTCTATAGAAAACTGATCGATGATGAAGTTTTCTATAGAAAACTAATCGATTATGAAGTTTTCTATAGAAAACTGATCGATGATGTATTTTTCTATAGAACACTGATCGATGATGTAGTTTTCTATAGAAAACTGATCGATGATGTAGTTTTCTTTAGAAAATTGATCGATGATGAAGTTTTCTATAGAAAACTGATCTATGATGTAGTTTTTTATAGAAAACTGATCGATGATGAAGTTTTCTAAAGTAAACTGATCGTTGATGGAATTTTCTATAGAAAGCTGATCGATGGTGATGTTTTCTTTAGAAAAATAATCGATGTTGAAGTTTTCTACAGAAAAGTGATCGCTGACGAAGTCTTCTATAGAAAGGTGATCGACGATGAAGTTTTCTCTAGAAAAATTATAGACGATAAAGTTTCACTAATTTTTCAATTGGAAGTTTATTTAAGGATCTAAAACTGATTTAATGGGAAATATGAGTGATCACAGATTTTTCAGTATTTTCGGGGCGCTATTTATATTTCGATATTTTCGGGAAATTTTAGTGATCGACTATGAAGTTTTCAATATTTTCTTAATTGAAGCGTTATATAGGGATCTATAGCAGATTTTAAGTTTAAATTTTTCGGGAAATTTTATTGATCACAGATATTCACAATTTTCCAAATTGGAGCATTGTTTAAAGGTCTATAGCCGATTTTAAATTTGTTATATAAAAATTGGCTTTTGGTGGAAAATATGAATTTGTAAGGACTATAGTACCCTGGTTGCTTCGCTACCCTAACGAATTTAATTTTTTATCAAATTTTTTTTACTTTTATAGAAAATTATAATTAAATATTTTTAAAGGTTTCTATTTAGGTTCAATATTATCGAAAATTATCGCATGACTATATTCGCATTCAATAAGGAACGTGTTATTTTTAATTTCATGCCTTTAGCTTCCACATTATACAAAATTTCAAAAAGTACTATTTGAAGGTAGGAACAAGTATCAAAAAATACCTCTTATAGATTATAATTCAATTAAAAATGTTTATGTTTCAGTATAATTTGATGAACGAAAAAGTACCAAAACGTTCCTCATTAACTGAGGTCATTCTAACTTCCTTTCAACTCTACCTTTAATCATTTCCCCCACTATATATTGTCTTCAAATATTTTTTTTTATTATTGTAATCTAAAAAAAAAGATACGAATACAAAATGAAACTGAATAAAATTACATATTGCAACAATTATAAAGCAATTAATATTACTTATACGTACCCAACAACCAAACCACTGCCCATTAGAGACAAAACGAAATGAACTGATATCATTTCTTCGCAAAAGGCATGCAAAATTTATGCATGAATGCAAAATGCATTTTTTTTATAAATAATTATGACTTATAAAAAATTATTACAAAATATTTGATAGATAATGATCGCTAAAATGCCATAAGTGATAAACAGCAACAAAACGGCTAATGTTTGTAACACCAAACTGAAAAAAAAAAAGACTTTGGCAAACAAAGTGAACAGTAAGGGGAGATTAAGGGAAAAATATGGACAGAAGCGCGAGGTACATAAATAAATCAAATTACAGTGGCATATGCATTAGAGCCTCCTAATAAGGAGAAAGTGTTTGGAAATAGAAGAGCAGCCTGAGCTGCATTTGCTTTTTAAAATTATGACAGGCCTCTTTGTGTTTATGATTATCTATATAAAATCGGTTTAATTTAAAAAGTTGGAAGCAGATTTGTAGAGAATTTCAAACTTAGAGGGTGGTTAGTGAACAAATATAAAAAGTATTTAAAAATGAAATTGGTGAGTTTTCTTTTAATAAAAACTATTTGTTAAAAATATTAATGTTATTATTTTTGTTTAAGCTTTTGGTTATAGTATTGGCTATATTGTCGGCTAATGTTAAGGCCAGCATTATACCAGCAAATCCCATAACTACTACCTATGCTTTGCCTCATACTCCGGTAGCTACTTCCTATCAAGTTGTGGCACGCAATGTTAATCGTGTACTGGTGCCGCATGTACCTTCAGTAGCTTATCCCGGTTATGCCTCCTCGTGGGGCAGTTATCCCTATAACTATCGTTATGGTTTTGGCTATGGTTATCCTTATGGTCATGTTCACAACTATGGCTATGGTATTGGTTATCCTTATGGTTATGGAGCCAGTGTTTGGTAATTCTTTAATTATTTTAATAGATTAACTTTAAGACTGTGTAAAACCAAAAAAAAAAAAAAAGAAAGAACAAAATAAAAACACCCACCATCCCTTGTAATCATCATAATATTTAGCACAATATGTTAAATATTCTTTAATAAAAACAAATAAATAAAAAAACAATCTAAAAGGTCACTCAACCTTCTTGGGGTTTCTTATTATTATTGTATTTTCTTTTTGTTAAAAAGTAAAACACAACCTTGGCATGATTTTTATATTAATTTTTTTTTAGTTTAACAACCTAAAAAAACCAAACAAATACACACATTTAATAAAACCAAAACAAACCATAAATTGTATGTTAAAAAAAAATAAATAAACATTAATAATTACGTGCTCCCACTACTGCATTTAGCAGTTACACAGAAAAAAATAGACAAACTTTTTTTTCAATAAACACATGTTATTAATAAATATTACAAAATTCAATAAAAAAGCTCATTAATTTAATAAATTTTTTATCAATACGGCAAAATTAAAATATCACTCAATAAAAAGTAGTTGATAAAGAAATTATCGAATTTTCTCATATATTCAATAAACAGTGTTGCAAAATTAAATAATTTGTCTAATTTTTTGAATTTTGACGGTTATTTCACGTTTTTTCATTCATTTTTTTGCCTTTTCAGTAAAAAAAAATATTCTTTGGCAACAACAACAACCTAGAAACAAAAAATTCTGCATTTTTTCTCAACAAAGAAGAAAAATAACGGTTATATTTTTTGTTTTGCTTCTGCTTTTTGCAAAAAAAAACCTGTTTTCTTAGAGTATTAAGAATCCTGAATAGACAAAACAATGTAGTTTTTGTTTCTTTTTATTTTAGTTTATGATTAGTTGACGTTTGATCTTCTTAAGTGAAAGTGTTTTATATCGTGCGTGTGTAAAAAAGTTAAATAAAATTAAAATATAAATTAAACTAAATAGTAATTAAAACTATGTATATAATTACATATAATAGTTATATACATATATAATAGTTATATAATAATTTAATTTGCCAAAATGGTTAGTATCAGTTGTTTTATGTGCAGTGACGTGTTTGATTGCCCAGAGAAGTTTTTAACACATTTAAAATTACACTATACTCCTCCTGGAACAGTGTACATTTGTAATGTTGAAAATTGTTACCAAAGATTTAGTTTAAAATATAATTTTAAAATGCACATTTTAAAACATTTTTAAAAAAAGTAAAAGTGAAGAGATTAATGCAAGTTGTGACGATTCAATTATATTAACAGAGAATGTAGAATCAGAAACCCCAAATGTTCCTAAATTTAATTACAATGATTTATTACAAAACGTAAATACCTCCATAAACAAATTTGTAATTCAAATGCATTCTAACAATAATTACACTCGATCTGATATTATAAAATTACAAAAATTAATAGAAAATAATATAGTAACTCCGATTTTAAATTTCATTCAAAATTCAGAAGCAGTAAAATGGGGTTATCTATATGACAATAAATGTTTCATTGGACGATTTTTAAATGATGTAGATATATTTGGCGGTTATATGTATTTGTAAAACTAAATCTGATGACATTCTTATATGTGGTCAAAAAGTTACAACTATTTATGACTCTCACTTTGCAGCTTATGAAATAAAAAGTATTTCAAATACTTTCGAAATTATTACACTAATAATGTTGTAGGACCGCCAGTTGAAAAAGTTGAAACTTCTCTGTTAAATTACATGAATTTTATAAAGTGTGTACTAATACATGTCTTATATAGGATAATATGAATACAGTTGTTGACAACACTCTACTTGACTTGTTAATCGAATGGGATTTGGAACATCTTCATAATCATTTTACTGGTAAGAATTTTCAACTACATTGCTAATATAAATCGAACTACACAAAATAATGCATACATTTTCTTCCAGAACATCGAATAACAACTAAAGTTTTAAAAATTTTAAAACCTGACCACATACGAACACTTTTTCAAGGTCTTGCAGTCGGGGACCAAGCTCTATTTGAATCAAACTTAGAAAGCTGGAGAAAAGATGCCTGTGGTACATTAACAACTTCCCCACAAAACGTAATCGCAAAACAAGCAATTTGTTCTGTATTGACCATGCTTCAAAATACAAAAAATGGAAGATCAATTTTACAGTATTATGAGGAAAACAAAATCCTCCACGAAGAGCAGAGGCAGTTGCTTATTAAAACTATTGCAGCTTATATTGAATCCAAGGATATGACTTACTCGATACCGATTGTAAGGAAATGGAAAAGAAATATGCTCCATTTTTCCCACCGAACAATTGGTAAGCTTTATTTCTTTAGAATTTTCACAATTTATTCATGAATTTTTTTATTTCAGGAATATTACAACAATGGGAAAAGAGGAAAGTTATATTCCAAAATTTATAATTTAAAAAGGCTTTCAAAAACAAGTTCTTCACCTAAAGAGCCTGCTCAGGAGGAATGTCATCAAGAATATTGTATAAATACATATATTGATGTAGAAATACTTATAATAATAATTATTTTTTTAGTTTCAGAATCAGATGCCAATATGCTGTTGAAAATCTCCGTAGTAAAGGTATATCAGCTGACGATTTCGATATCTTTGGAGAAAGTGCTTCGCAATATAGATTTAAAACAAATGATAGAAATCTAAGTCCACTGCAGATATCTTACATGAATGGCCGGAGTACACAAGACCTTCTGGATTCCAGCTGGTAAGAAATCTAAATTTAATAAATATGTAAATGATCAAATTTTAAAATTTTTTAAATTAATTAAAAACAATATATATATTAAAAACTTTGATGAATTTCAAATGTGATTATGTATTATATATAGTATTGATAACTTTCATGATTGATTGACTTCCATTTAAAATATAAGGATGCTATGGATTTGACATCAAGATGGAATACATACGAGAACAAATTGTTATATTTGCTGACAACAAAAATTACCAGTTCTTTTGTATCACAACAACTAAAAACGTTAACTTCATGGCAATCAAGGTATCAAAAAGTTTTTGTTTGTGCTATTATTTCTATTTAAAGACTTATTAATTTTCAGAATCAAAAACGTTTGGAATATTTGGAATCTTCACTACTTGTTTCCCCCACCAACAAAAAGTTATAATGGATGAAAAAGGGGCCAAATTAAGGAAAAAATTTTCAGGTGTCCGATTCTCAAGAGCATTCGCTATAATTGCAAATACACAACAAGAACTTAACGTTAAGCTAAATTTGTTAAAGATTCAAAAAATTAAATATACAGCCAAAACTTTAATTATTGGCAGTGTTTTAGATGTAAAAAGAAATTTTTTGTGTACTTCGATGACATAAAATATCCTATGTGTAGAGTTTTAAAACAGCTGTTGACATATTATTCAAAATATTTTTTGTTTCAATTTGGAATTTCCCAAAGAATCAGAATTATTTTTCATTTCTCTTACAAGTAATTTTTTTATGAAATAAAAACAGATAAAAAATTTACAAAAAATTTTACTATTAAAATGAGATTTTAAATCTAAGTGATTTGTAATGTAATTTGGTTATGATAAACTCATAATATCTATAGTACAAAATTCTATTTTATTTTCGTATACATTTTGAATTAAAAAATAAAATTGTTTTTTTTTTTAATTATATAAACTCAATTTTATGTACAAATATCTTAAATTATATATATTATATTGAATAAACAGCAATATTTTGATTTAATTTAAAATAAAAAACCATACAAATTTAAAAGCATTTCATTTAAAGAAAAAATTTGAAATTTGGAATAATTCACAAAATGTTGTTGAATTTATTCCAAATTTCAAATATTTTTTCTTTAAATGAAATGCTTTTAAATTTGTATGGTTTTTTATTTTAAATTAAATCAAAATATTGCTGTTTATTCAATATAAATATATATATTTAAGATATTTGTACATAAAATTGAGTTTATATAATTAAAAAAAAAAAACAATTTTATTTTTAATTCAAAAATGTATACGAAACATAAAATAGAATTTTGTACTATAGATATTATGAGTTTATCATAACCAAATTACATTACAAATCACTTAGATTTAAAATCTCATTTTTAATAGTAAAAATTTTTGTAAATTTTTATCTGTTTTATTTCATAAAAAAATACTTGTAAGAAATTGAAAATAATTCTGATTCTTTGGGAAATTCCAAATTGAAAACAAAAAATATTTGAATAATATGTCAACAGCTGTTAAAAACTCTACACATAGGATATTTTATGTCATCGAAGTACACAAAAATTTCTTTTACATCTAAAACACTGCCAATAATTAAAAGTTTTGGCTGTATATTTAATTTTTGAATCTTTAACAAATTTAGCTTAACGTTAAGTTCTTGTTGTGTATTTGCAATTATAGCGAATGCCTCTTGAGAATCGGACACTGAAAATTTTTCCTTAATTTGGCCCCTTTTTCATCCATTATAACTTTTGTTGTGGGGGAAAACAAGTAGTGAAGATTCCAAATTATTCCAAACGTTTTGATTCTGAAAATAATAAGTCTTTAAATAGAAATAATAGCACAAACAAAAAACTTTTTGATACCTTGATTGCATGAAGTTAACGTTTTTAGTTGTTGTGATACAAAAGAACTGGTAATTTTTGTTGTCAGCAAATATAACAATTTGTTCTCGTATGTATTCCATCTTGATGTCAAATCCATAGCATCCTTATATTTAAATGGAAGTCAATATCAATCTGAAAGTTATCAATACTATATATAATACATAATCACATTTGAAATTCATCAAAGTTTAATATATATATTGTTTTTAAAATTAATTTAAAAAAAATTTTAAAATTTGATCATTTACATATTTATTAAATTTAGATTTCTTACCAGCTGGAATCCAGAAGGTCTTGTGTACTCCGGCCATTCATGTAAGATATCTGCAGTGGACTTAGATTCTATCATTTGTTTAAATCTATATTGCGAGCACTTTCTCCAAAAGATATCGAAATCGTCAGCTGATATACCTTTACTACGGAGATTTTCAACAGCATATTTGGCATCTGATTCTGAAACTAAAAAAAATAATTATTATTATAAGTATTTCTACATCAATATATGTATTTATACCATATTCTTGATGACATTCCTCCTGAGCAGGCTCTTTAGGTTGAAGAACTTGTTTGAAAAGCCTTTTTAAATTATAAATTTTGGAATATAACTTTCCTCTTTTCCCATTGTTGTAATATTCCTGAAATAAAAAAAATTCATGAATAAATTGTGAAAATTCTAAAGAAATAAAGCTTACCAATTGTTCGGTGGGAAAAATGGAGCATATTTCTTTTTCCATTTCCTTACAATCGGTCATCGAGTAAGTCATATCCTTGGATTCAATATAAGCTGCAATAGTTTTAATAAGCAACTGCCTCTGCTCTTCGTGGAGGATTTTGTTTTCCTCATAATACTGTAAAATTGATCTTCCATTTTTTGTATTTTGAAGCATGGTCAATACAGAACAAATTGCTTGTTTTGCGATTACGTTTTGTGGGGAAGTTGTTAATGTACCACAGGCATCTTTTCTCCAGCTTTCTAAGTTTGATTCAAATAGAGCTTGGTCCCCGACTGCAAGACCTTGAAAAAGTGTTCGTATGTGGTCAGGTTTTAAAATTTTAAAACTTTAGTTGTTATTCGATGTTCTGGAAGAAATGTATGCATTATTTTGTGTAGTTCGATTTATATTAGCAATGTAGTTGAAAATTCTTACCAGTAAAATGATTATGAAGATGTTCCAAATCCCATTCGATTAACAAGTCAAGTAGAGTGTTGTCAACAACTGTATTCATATTATCCTATAGAAGACATGTATTAGTACACACTTTTATAAAATTCATGTAATTTAACAGAGAAGTTTCAACTTTTTCAACTGGCGGTCCTACAACATTATTTAGTGTAATAATTTCGAAAGTATTTGAAAATACTTTTTATTTCATAAGCTGCAAAGTGAGAGTCATAAATAGTTGTAACTTTTTGACCACATATAAGAATGTCATCAGATTTAGTTTTACAAATACATATAACCGCAAATATATCTACATCATTTAAAAAATCGTCCAATGAAACATTTATTGTCATATAGATAACCCCATTTTACCTGCTTCTGAATTTTGAATGAAATTTAAAATCGGAGTTACTATATTATTTTCTATTAATTTTTGTAATTTTATAATATCAGATCGAGTGTAATTATTGTTAGAATGCATTTGAATTACAAATTTGTTTATGGAGGTATTTACGTTTTGTAATAAATCATTGTAATTAAATTTAGGAACATTTGGGGTTTCTGATTCTACATTCTCTGTTAATATAATTGAATCGTCACAACTTGCATTAATCTCTTCACTTTTACTTTTTTAAAATGTTTTAAAATGTGCATTTTAAAATTATATTTTAAACTAAATCTTTGGTAACAATTTTCAACATTACAAATGTACACTGTTCCAGGAGGAGTATAGTGTAATTTTAAATGTGTTAAAAACTTCTCTGGGCAATCAAACACGTCACTGCACATAAAACAACTGATACTAACCATTTTGGCAAATTAAATTATTATATAACTATTATATATGTATATAACTATTATATGTAATTATATACATAGTTTAATTACTATTTAGTTTAATTTATATTTTAATTTTATTTAACTTTTTTACACACGCACGATATAAAACACTTTCACTTAAGAAGATCAAACGTCAACTAATCATAAACTAAAATAAAAAGAAACAAAAACTACATTGTTTTGTCTATTCAGGATTCTTAATACTCTAAGAAACAGGTTTTTTTTGCAAAAAGCAGAAGCAAAACAAAAAATATAACCGTTATTTTTCTTCTTTGTTGAGAAAAAATGCAGAATTTTTTGTTTCTAGGTTGTTGTTGTTGCCAAAGAATATTTTTTTTTACTGAAAAGGCAAAAAAATGAATGAAAAAACGTGAAATAACCGTCAAAATTCAAAAAAATTAGACAAATTATTTAATTTTGCAACACTGTTTATTGAATATATGAGAAAATTCGATAATTTCTTTATCAACTACTTTTTATTGAGTGATATTTTTAATTTTGCCGTATTGATAAAAAATTTATTAAATTAATGAGCTTTTTTATTGAATTTTGTAATATTTATTAATAACATGTGTTTATTGAAAAAAAAGTTTGTCTATTTTTTTCTGTGTAACTGCTAAATGCAGTAGTGGGAGCACGTAATTATTAATGTTTATTTATTTTTTTTTAACATACAATTTATGGTTTGTTTTGGTTTTATTAAATGTGTGTATTTGTTTGGTTTTTTTAGGTTGTTAAACTAAAAAAAAATTAATATAAAAATCATGCCAAGGTTGTGTTTTACTTTTTAACAAAAAGAAAATACAATAATAATAAGAAAACCCCAAGAAGGTTGAGTGACCTTTTAGATTGTTTTTTATTTATTTGTTTTTATTAAAGAATATTTAACATATTGTGCTAAATATTATGATGATTACAAGGGATGGTGGGTGTTTTTATTTTGTTCTTTCTTTTTTTTTTTTTTTGGTTTTACACAGTCTTAAAGTTAATCTATTAAAATAATTAAAGAATTACCAAACACTGGCTCCATAACCATAAGGATAACCAATACCATAGCCATAGTTGTGAACATGACCATAAGGATAACCATAGCCAAAACCATAACGATAGTTATAGGGATAACTGCCCCACGAGGAGGCATAACCGGGATAAGCTACTGAAGGTACATGCGGCACCAGTACACGATTAACATTGCGTGCCACAACTTGATAGGAAGTAGCTACCGGAGTATGAGGCAAAGCATAGGTAGTAGTTATGGGATTTGCTGGTATAATGCTGGCCTTAACATTAGCCGACAATATAGCCAATACTATAACCAAAAGCTTAAACAAAAATAATAACATTAATATTTTTAACAAATAGTTTTTATTAAAAGAAAACTCACCAATTTCATTTTTAAATACTTTTTATATTTGTTCACTAACCACCCTCTAAGTTTGAAATTCTCTACAAATCTGCTTCCAACTTTTAAATTAAACCGATTTTATATAGATAATCATAAACACAAAGAGGCCTGTCATAATTTTAAAAAGCAAATGCAGCTCAGGCTGCTCTTCTATTTCCAAACACTTTCTCCTTATTAGGAGGCTCTAATGCATATGCCACTGTAATTTGATTTATTTATGTACCTCGCGCTTCTGTCCATATTTTTCCCTTAATCTCCCCTTACTGTTCACTTTGTTTGCCAAAGTCTTTTTTTTTTCAGTTTGGTGTTACAAACATTAGCCGTTTTGTTGCTGTTTATCACTTATGGCATTTTAGCGATCATTATCTATCAAATATTTTGTAATAATTTTTTATAAGTCATAATTATTTATAAAAAAAAATGCATTTTGCATTCATGCATAAATTTTGCATGCCTTTTGCGAAGAAATGATATCAGTTCATTTCGTTTTGTCTCTAATGGGCAGTGGTTTGGTTGTTGGGTACGTATAAGTAATATTAATTGCTTTATAATTGTTGCAATATGTAATTTTATTCAGTTTCATTTTGTATTCGTATCTTTTTTTTTAGATTACAATAATAAAAAAAAATATTTGAAGACAATATATAGTGGGGGAAATGATTAAAGGTAGAGTTGAAAGGAAGTTAGAATGACCTCAGTTAATGAGGAACGTTTTGGTACTTTTTCGTTCATCAAATTATACTGAAACATAAACATTTTTAATTGAATTATAATCTATAAGAGGTATTTTTTGATACTTGTTCCTACCTTCAAATAGTACTTTTTGAAATTTTGTATAATGTGGAAGCTAAAGGCATGAAATTAAAAATAACACGTTCCTTATTGAATGCGAATATAGTCATGCGATAATTTTCGATAATATTGAACCTAAATAGAAACCTTTAAAAATATTTAATTATAATTTTCTATAAAAGTAAAAAAAATTTGATAAAAAATTAAATTCGTTAGGGTAGCGAAGCAACCAGGGTACTATAGTCCTTACAAATTCATATTTTCCACCAAAAGCCAATTTTTATATAACAAATTTAAAATCGGCTATAGACCTTTAAACAATGCTCCAATTTGGAAAATTGTGAATATCTGTGATCAATAAAATTTCCCGAAAAATTTAAACTTAAAATCTGCTATAGATCCCTATATAACGCTTCAATTAAGAAAATATTGAAAACTTCATAGTCGATCACTAAAATTTCCCGAAAATATCGAAATATAAATAGCGCCCCGAAAATACTGAAAAATCTGTGATCACTCATATTTCCCATTAAATCAGTTTTAGATCCTTAAATAAACTTCCAATTGAAAAATTAGTGAAACTTTATCGTCTATAATTTTTCTAGAGAAAACTTCATCGTCGATCACCTTTCTATAGAAGACTTCGTCAGCGATCACTTTTCTGTAGAAAACTTCAACATCGATTATTTTTCTAAAGAAAACATCACCATCGATCAGCTTTCTATAGAAAATTCCATCAACGATCAGTTTACTTTAGAAAACTTCATCATCGATCAGTTTTCTATAAAAAACTACATCATAGATCAGTTTTCTATAGAAAACTTCATCATCGATCAATTTTCTAAAGAAAACTACATCATCGATCAGTTTTCTATAGAAAACTACATCATCGATCAGTGTTCTATAGAAAAAATACATCATCGATCAGTTTTCTATAGAAAACTTCATAATCGATTAGTTTTCTATAGAAAACTTCATCATCGATCAGTTTTCTATAGAAAACTTCATCATCCATCAGCTTTCTTAAAAAAACTTCATCTAATATATTTGTTATTTGACCTCGTTCTATGAAACGTTTGTGTTTAAATTTAACAGTTTGATTAGTTTAAATTTCAACACAGTGCGGTGGCATATTTTAGACACAAACCACTTTCATATTGTTTTCCTACTGAACACTAGAGGGCGTTGTTATTGCATTTTTGGAACTTAAAATTAATTTAATTTTAAAAATTCCAACATGTGCGAGTCTTTAAATATTAAACACACATTAAATTTAACACAAGTCTTTTATTAAAGCACATTAACAGGGAAACCAATCTAGACTAGTGTAATTTACAATATAATTAACCTTTTTATTAAAGGTCATGCAAGGTCAAGTGTGTGTGTTGTTATTATGGGCCAGTTTCTTTAAATTTTAAGATTAAAGATTATAGTTTTGTAAATAGAAATGGAATCAAATTTTACATTTACATTTTTATATGAACCAAAAATTCTTCGAATTGTATGATGATCGGTCTATAATTAACACTTCTCTATAAGTATGGCATTAGGATAGTATTAGACAAAAATGATCTGACCACTTCCTACAATTCTGAAGGGCCCTGACCAAAATGCTACCAAATCAGATATAGAAATTTAGTATTTTTGTAAACATTCCCAAAGATTGACGGACATCTTTAAGAATTCAGAATATGTAATTTGTAAATACTGGGAACGCTTTTATTAACCTATGATCTCCTTACCTCAAATTTGTTGATCACTTTAAAATATTTGTTCAATTATAGTGCTTTTTTTAATAATTTATTTCTCTCAAACATTTACAAAATCCTTCTCTCAATATTAATTAAACATATTTGCATAAGGATTACTGCTGCCCTGCTGTGAAGGTGGAGTTTTATTTGTATTACCTGCTGGCAAGGGATAATGACCCGGACCATAGCTTAAAACGGCTTGACCTCCAGAATGCCAATTATGAGGGCCTTGAGGGTTTTGAGGAGCTGGTTGTAGAGGTGCTAAAGGTATACCATTACTGCCAATAGCTGGAGAAGCTGGTGGCATATCTTTATTAGGTAGTTGAGGATATATAAGGGTTTGATTTGCGGGTGGAGTCCAAGAATTTGAAGGCATTGCTGGTTTATTGTTGGGATTATTTGGTAGTATAGGATAAGCAGGAACTTGAGGAGCCGAAGGTAGAGGGAAACTAGGTCTTGTATGATTTAAGGTGTTTTGTTGTCCATAGGCGGGATATTGTGGATTGATGGGTAGTTGAGGTTTTGTATGATTTAAGGTGTTTTGTTGTCCATAGGCGGGATATTGCGATGGTTGTGGCTGCCATGCAGGACGTGTTTGATTAAAAGAACTTTGTCCATATGTAGGATATTGAGGTTGATTCGGTGCAGGACGTGTTTGATTAAATGTTCCTTGACCATACGAAGGTTGTTGTGGTCTATAGTTATTAACTTGAGCAGGATTATTTATGGCTGGTCTATAGCCAGGTTGATTGTATTGAGAACGATTGTTGGTCTGTTGTTGCCATTGCTGCTGCTGTTGATGTTGGTTGTATGAATGTGCATGAGTTTGATTATGTACTAAAGGTTGTTGATAGCCAACATTGGCTGGTCGATAACCAGCTTGACCCCGTTGATTTTGGGTCACTGTAATGTTTGGTCGCCTATGAGACCAATTATTGTCTACACGTGCCAATGCTGATGTGCAGCTAATACCCAGCAGCATACAAAAGAAGAAAACTAAACAACAGCAACAAATTGAAACAGTTGTTAAAATGCAAATAGAAAAAGTTTAAATATATAATGTATAGTTCTAGAATTGTTATTATTTTTCCTTTAAATACCTTCTTTCTGCAATGAATTTACTAACATTTTGCTTGTTTTTATGATGAGTTTTAAATATAAACTAAATTGAAAAATTAAGCTTTTTTTCCCATCAACACTATTTTAAAATGTTTCTATTACGTTTCATTCTTATCTACAAAACTTTATTTTTATTTAATGATTAATACTAACATCATTATGAGAATCATCTGTTTCATCATTATTATCATTATCTTTTCCCTGTTTTCTTCTTATCTCTTGGAATTCTATTAAAAATACAATTTATTGGTACTTTTTTTTCTTCCAAAGAATTGTTTATTTTTGTTTTGTTTTTTGTTTAAATAATTCCAGCATAGAAAAATATAATAATTATAATAACAATAGAACCGAACAACTAATTAATTTTTATTAATTGAAAAATTACGCCTCTTAAAACTAGCAAAAATCAAATGCATTTTTATGTCATTTATAATTGAAGATCTTTGAGTCGACCTCTTCTTTAACCTCTAGCAATGGGGAATAGACCCTCACAGCTTCCTCGACGCACGATTTCGATATCTGCAAAGAAAGAATAAGTAGATGATTTTGTTAATATTTCTTCAAAAGTAGCACACGACCTCTATATAAAATGCTCATTATTGATCAGCTCTCTTCAGATTTCTTTCAATATCGTCAGTTCTCTATAACAAAAACTTTATTGTCCATCAGTTTTCTACAGAAAACTTCATCAACCATCAGCAGTTCTAGAAATCTGCTTGATCATTGATCAGTTTTTTCTATATAAATCTTTATCATCGATCAGTTTTCTATAAATCTCATCATCATCATCGATCAGTTTTGATTTGACATACTTCATTATCCATAAGTTTTCTATAGATCCTCAATTTTCTCATTGATCAGTTTTCTATATAAACCTATATCATTGAGAAGTTTTCTTCAAAAAACTTTATGATCGGTCAGTTTTGAAAAAAAAAAAACTTAATCATCGATCACTTTTCTATAGAACTTTTCAACACCGATCTGTATTCTATAGAAAATTTCACCAACGATCAGTTTCTATTGAAAAATTAAAATTATTCATTATTGATCAGTTTTTTCTATATAAAACTTTATCATCGATAAGTTTGATTTCACATACTTCCTCATTGATCAGTTTTCTATAGTAAATTTGATCAAACAGTTCTCCATAAAAAACTCTATCATTGATCAGTTTATAATCGATCGGTTTTCTATAGATCTCATCATCATCGATAAGTTTGATTTGACATATTACATTATCGATCAGTTTTCTATAGTAAACTTGATCATCAATCAATCAGTTCTCTACAGAAAAACGTTTTTATTGATCGGATTTCTTCCATCAGTTAATTATAAAAAAATTTCAAAAAACTACACATTATAAATCAGTTCTCTTTATATAAAACCTTCATCATCGTTGAGTTCTCTATATAATCGTCGATCGGTTTAATTTGGAAATCTTTAAAATCGATCAGTTTGATTTGGATAAGTTCTTTATCGATCAGTTTTCTCTAGAAGATTTCAACATTGATCAGTTATTATCAATTCTCTTTAAAAAACATTCATCATTGAACAGTTTTCTATTTTTAAAAATCATCATTATCGATCAGTTTCCGCAGAAAATATTATCATTGTTCAATTTTCATCAGTTTACAATGACTCTAATTGCTACATGTTTTCAATAAAAAAAAACAAATATTCATACTTTTAATATATTTATTGCCCTGATAAGTGTGCATCTCAAAAAATATCTTTAATGGGTTATGGAACCTTTGTGACCTTGTCTTTATTTTATTTTTGTTATTTTTACTTTTTATCTCGTAATGACTTTTTCTTACTTAATACTCATATAACTCAAAAAAAGTAAAATAATTAAACATTTATTTTCAATAATACTGCATTTACCGGTTTCATTTTGACAATTTGACGTTTAAATTTTGCGCACTTTTTTCTTTGGTGTCATGCAACGTACTTGAGCTGTTGTTTAAAAAACATTAAAAACGGAACTTGTTTTAGTCTTTTGTTTAATTTTAAACATGTGCGATAAATTTTGGCGCCCGTGAATTTTTTGTTTTTTGTATGATAATCAATATTTTATTTATATTGAATTGGATGTAAAAAAAATGCAAGGTTTTGAGCACAGTTTAAGTAATTTGAGGTAGGAAATGCAGTTCGAGTTCAGTTCGAGATCAGTTCGAGTTCAGTTTTTAGTGCGTTCGAGATCAGTTTCGAGTTCAGTTTTAGTGCAGTTCGAGATCAGTTCGAGTTCAGTTCTAGTTCAGTTCTAGTTCAGTTCTAGTTCAGTTCTAGTTCAGTTCTAGTTCAGTTCTAGTTCAGTTCTAGTTCAGTTCTAGTTCAGTTCTAGTTCAGTTCTAGTTCAGTTCTAGTTCAGTTCTAGTTCAGTTCTAGTTCAGTTCTAGTTCAGTTCTAGTTCAGTTCTAGTTCAGTTCTAGTTCAGTTCTAGTTCAGTTCTAGTTCAGTTCTAGTTCAGTTCTAGTTCAGTTCTAGTTCAGTTCTAGTTCAGTTCTAGTTCAGTTCTAGTTCAGTTCTAGTTCAGTTCTAGTTCAGTTCTAGTTCAGTTCTAGTTCAGTTCTAGTTCAGTTCTAGTTCAGTTCTAGTTCAGTTCTAGTTCAGTTCTAGTTCAGTTCTAGTTCAGTTCTAGTTCAGTTCTAGTTCAGTTCTAGTTCAGTTCTAGTTCAGTTCTAGTTCAGTTCTAGTTCAGTTCTAGTTCAGTTCTAGTTCAGTTCTAGTTCAGTTCTAGTTCAGTTCTAGTTCAGTTCTAGTTCAGTTCTAGTTCAGTTCTATTCAGTTCTAGTTCAGTTCTAGTTCAGTTCTAGTTCAGTTCTAGTTCAGTTCTAGTTCAGTTCTAGTTCAGTTCTAGTTCAGTTCTAGTTCAGTTCTAGTTCAGTTCTAGTTCAGTTCTAGTTCAGTTCTAGTTCAGTTCTAGTTCAGTTCTAGTTCAGTTCTAGTTCAGTTCTAGTTCAGTTCTAGTTCAGTTCTAGTTCAGTTCTAGTTCAGTTCTAGTTCAGTTCTAGTTCAGTTCTAGTTCAGTTCTAGTTCAGTTCTAGTTCAGTTCTAGTTCAGTTCTAGTTCAGTTCTAGTTCAGTTCTAGTTCAGTTCTAGTTCAGTTCTAGTTCAGTTCTAGTTCAGTTCTAGTTCAGTTCTAGTTCAGTTCTAGTTCAGTTCTAGTTCAGTTCTAGTTCAGTTCTAGTTCAGTTCTAGTTCAGTTCTAGTTCAGTTCTAGTTCAGTTCTAGTTCAGTTCTAGTTCAGTTCTAGTTCAGTTCTAGTTCAGTTCTAGTTCAGTTCTAGTTCAGTTCTAGTTCAGTTCTAGTTCAGTTCTAGTTCTAGTTCAGTTCTAGTTCAGTTCTAGTTCAGTTCTAGTTCTTCTAGTTCAGTTCTAGTTCAGTTCTAGTTCAGTTCTAGTTCAGTTCTAGTTCAGTTCTAGTTCAGTTCTAGTTCAGTTCTAGTTCAGTTCTAGTTCAGTTCTAGTTCAGTTCTACTTCAGTTCTAGTTCAGTTCTAGTTCAGTTCTAGTTCAGTTCTAGTTCAGTTCAAGTTCAGTTCTAGTTCAGTTCTAGTTCAGTTCTAGTTCAGTTCTAGTTCAGTTCTAGTTCAGTTCTAGTTCAGTTCTAGTTCAGTTCTAGTTCAGTTCTAGTTCAGTTCTAGTTCAGTTCTAGTTCAGTTCTAGTTCAGTTCTAGTTCAGTTCTAGTTCAGTTCTAGTTCAGTTCTAGTTCAGTTCTAGTTCAGTTCTAGTTCAGTTCTAGTTCAGTTCTAGTTCAGTTCTAGTTCAGTTCTAGTTCAGTTCTAGTTCAGTTCTAGTTCAGTTCTAGTTCAGTTCTAGTTCAGTTCTAGTTCAGTTCAAGTTCAGTTCTAGTTCAGTTCTAGTTCAGTTCTAGTTCAGTTCTAGTTCAGTTCTAGTTCAGTTCTAGTTCAGTTCTAGTTCAGTTCTAGTTCAGTTCTAGTTCAGTTCTAGTTCAGTTCTAGTTCAGTTCTAGTTCAGTTCTAGTTCAGTTCTAGTTCAGTTCTAGTTCAGTTCTAGTTCAGTTCTAGTTCAGTTCTAGTTCAGTTCTAGTCAGTTCTAGTTCAGTAGTTCAGTTCTAGTTCAGTTCTAGTTCAGTTCTAGTTCAGTTCTAGTTCAGTTCTAGTTCAGTTCTAGTTCAGTTCTAGCTCAGTTCTAGCTCAGTTCTAGTTCAGTTCTAGTTCAGTTCTAGTTCAGTTCTAGTTCAGTTCTAGTTCAGTTCTAGTTCAGTTCTAGTTCAGTTCTAGTTCAGTTCTAGTTCAGTTCTAGTTCAGTTCTAGTTCAGTTATAGTTCAGTTCTAGTTCAGTTATAGTTCAGTTCTAGTTCAGTTCTAGTTCAGTTCTAGTTCAATTCTAGTTCAGTTCTAGTTCAGTTCTAGTTCAGTTCTAGTTCAGTTTCTAGTTCACTTCTACTTCAGTTCTAGTTCAGTTCTAGTTAAGTTCTACTTCACTTCTAGTTCAGTTCTAATTCATTTCTAGTTCAGTTCTAATTCACTTCTAGTTCACTTCAAGTTCACTTCGAGTTCAGTTCTAGTTCTGTTTTAAATTAGTTCAAGTATTTGTATTTAAGTTCTCGTTTTGTCCGAGATAGTTTTAGTTCACTTCTACTAGTTAGTACATGTGATACTAAAAGCAACTAAACAATTTCAAACTTTTCCCTAACTGCACAACACTAGCGGACATAATTATAAACTTGGCCTTGAGTTTTTTCTACTAACCGATTTTGAACAATTAAGTGCCATTTAGCCTTAAAATAAATTCATTTAAATACGTGACTTTTTTCTAACCACTTTAACTCTGAGATAAATTACACACTTCTTAAACACATGTACAGAAATTAAGATATTAAGCTAAAAAGATCTCTGTCACATTCCAGCTAACATCTTTCTTCGCTCTCATTAAAAAACACATACATACATACCTGCTCCACATTGTCTGGCACAATTGAATTTCTGCTCATTGCCATACTGTTCGCGATTACTGGCACAAATTGGATTAAACTCTGAGGTCGTGGGACATCTACTAAAACAGTCCAAGAATTGAGGTGTAGGCGTAGTAGCTGCGGCAATAAATGGTACCATTGTGGGTACAGCTGGTTGATTATTGACAAAAACAACGGAGTTTCCGGGTGCGGCAGTTGTTGTGGCAAACACTAACTGTTGCCCAGGACCTAACCAATTTTGATTGTTTAAACCGCTACCTTGAGAATTGATATTGTTCTGTCTTGGGAAATTACCAAATGGTCTTAATTGATTGAACTGGAAATCTGGCTGAAATTGTTGTTGTGTGAATTGGATGCAGCTGCAAACAATTACAATAAAGATGACTGAGAAAACTGCAAATAATAAATCAAATATTTAATATTGTTTACACATTGCTGTTGATTGTTTCATTTTAATTAGTTGTTAGGGTAACAAAATATTACTTTGTTAAAACACAATACCGGCAACATTTTTGGTGTGTTGTTACTGCGAATGTATCTAAAATTCAACTGAATCTTTAAGAGCGATGCTAGATGAATCTTTATAGCATTATGATTAGGTTTTATATTTTGTGTTTAAATTTAAACTGTAGTTATTTACCTGTGTGTTTTTTTTTTCATTCGGTTTTTTTAAATTGTGAATCATAGTGGTCATTCATATAAAAAAATATATTAAAGCAAAATCCAATTTAATCAATTGTTTATGAGTAGCAGTTCATTCTCCCGGTTTTTAAGACTTAAATAATGTTTAACTAAATCCAGTTTAAATTTTTGCGGTTAAAAAGTATCGATCCCATATTTGTTTGTTTTTAACGTTGATCAAATATGTTTTTGATATTTTGCATTTTTATGAATACATTAATTCGTAGACATAAACAAAATATTAACGGGGGATTTAAATTTTAAATCAATATTAATATTTAGTTTTTATTTTGATTAAAATTGCAATAAAATTATGGTAGGTCAAACTCGTTTAAATGTAACCCTACATTTTGCATATTTCAAACATAATTAATGTGCACAGTGGGGCAGACGGGCAATGAAATGGTTGTTAATAAAAAAACTGTAAAACTTTGAGTGTACCACAGACCTATGTAGTTTTCGTTGAGTTTATCGTTAAACTCTACTTTATATCAAGTTTAGTTCAGATCTGGTTCAGTTCTAGTTTAGTTCTAATACAGTTCTAGTTCAGTTCTAGTTTAAACCTAGTTCAGTTCTAGATCAGTTTTAGTTCAGTTCTAGTTCAGTTCTAGTTCAGTTCTAGTTCAGTTCTAGTTCAGTTCTAGTTCAGTTCTAGTTCAGTTCTAGTTCAGTTCTAGTTCAGTTCTAGTTCAGTTCTAGTTCAGTTCTAGTTCAGTTCTAGTTCAGTTCTAGTTCAGTTCTAGTTCATTTCTAGTTCATTTCTAGGTTCTAGTTCAGTTCTAGTTCAGTTCTAGTTCAGTTCTAGTTCAGTTCTAGTTCAGTTCTAGTTCAGTTCTAGTTCAGTTCTAGTTCAGTTCTAGTTCAGTTCTAGTTCAGTTCTAGTTCAGTTCTAGTTCAGTTCTAGTTCATCTAGTTCAGTTCTAGTTCAGTTCTAGTTCAGTTCTAGTTCAGTTCTAGTTCAGTTCTAGTTCAGTTCTAGTTCAGTTCTAGTTCAGTTCTAGTTCAGTTCTAGTTCAGTTCTAGTTCAGTTCTAGTTCAGTTCTAGTTCAGTTCTAGTTCAGTTCTAGTTCAGTTCTAGTTCAGTTCTAGTTCAGTTCTAGTTCAGTTCTAGTTCATTTCTAGTTCAGTTCTAGTTCAGTTCTAGTTCAGTTCTAGTTCAGTTCTAGTTCAGTTCTAGTTCAGTTCTAGTTCAGTTCTAGTTCAGTTCTAGTTCAGTTCTAGTTCAGTTCTAGTTCAGTTCTAGTTCAGTTCTAGTTCAGTTCTAGTTCAGTTCTAGTTCAGTTCTAGTTCAGTTCTAGTTCAGTTCTAGTTCAGTTCTAGTTCAGTTCTAGTTCAGTTCTAGTTCAGTTCTAGTTCAGTTCTAGTTCAGTTCTAGTTCAGTTCTAGTCAGTTCTCAGTTCTAGTTTAGTTCTAGTTCAGTTCTAGTTCAGTTCTAGTTCAGTTCTAGTTCAGTTCTAGTTCAGTTCTAGTTTTATTCTAGAGTTCTAGTTTTATTCTAGTTCAGTTCTAGTTCAGTTCTAGTTCAGTTCTAGTTCAGTTCTAGTTCAGTTCTAGTTCAGTTCTAGTTCAGTTCTAGTTCAGTTCTAGTTCAGTTCTAGTTCAGTTCTAGTTCAGTTCTAGTTCAGTTCTAGTTCAGTTCTAGTTCAGTTCTAGTTCAGTTCTAGTTCAGTTCTAGTTCAGTTCTAGGTCAGTTCTAGTTTTGTTCTAGTTCAGTTCTAGTTCAGTTCTAGTTCAGTTCTAGTTCAGTTCTAGTTCAGTTCTAGTTCAGTTCTAGTTCAGTTCTAGTTCAGTTCTAGTTCAGTTCTAGTTCAGTTCTAGTTCAGTTCTAGTTCAGTTCTAGTTCAGTTCTAGTTCAGTTCTAGTTCAGTTCTAGTTCAGTTCTAGTTCAGTTCTAGTTCAGTTCTAGTTCAGTTCAAGTTCAGTTCTAGTTCAGTTCTAGTTCAGTTCTAGTTCAGTTCTAGTTCAGTTCTAGTTCAGTTCTAGTTCAGTTCTAGTTCGGTTCTAGTTCAGTTCTAGTTCAGTTCTAGTTCAGTTCTAGTTCAGTTCTAGTTCAGTTCTAGTTCAGTTCTAGTTCAGTTCTAGTTCAGTTCTAGTTCAGTTCTAGTTCAGTTCTAGTTCAGTTCTAGTTCAGTTCTAGTTCAGTTCTAGTTCAGTTCTAGTTCAGTTCTAGTACAGTTCTAGTTTAGTTCCAGTTCAGTTCTAGTTCAGTTCTAGTTCAATTCTAGTTCAGTTCTAGTTCAGTTCTAGTTCAGTTCTAGTTCAGTTCTAGTTCAGTTCTAGTTCAGTTCTAGTTCAGTTCTAGTTCAGTTCTAGTTCAGTTCTAGTTCAGTTCTAGTTCAGTTAGTTCAGTTCTAAGTTCAGTTCTAGTTCAGTTCTAGTTCAGTTCTAGTTCAGTTCTAGTTCAGTTCTAGTTCAGTTCTTTAGTTCAGTTCTAGTTCAGTTCTAGTTCAGTTCTAGTTCAGTTCTAGTTCAGTTCTAGTTCAGTTCTAGTTCAGTTCTAGTTCTTCTAGTTCAGTTCTAGTTCAGTTCTAGTTCAGTTCTAGTTCAGTTCTAGTTCAGTTCTAGTTCAGTTCTAGTTCAGTTCTAGTTCAGTTCTAGTTCAGTTCTAGTTCAGTTCTAGTTCAGTTCTAGTTCAGTTCAAGTTCAGTTCTAGTTCAGTTCTAGTTCAGTTCTAGTTCAGTTCTAGTTCGGTTCTAGTTCAGTTCTAGTTCAGTTCTAGTTCAGTTCTAGTTCAGTTCTAGTTCAGTTCTAGTTCAGTTCTAGTACAGTTCTAGTTCAGTTCCAGTTCAGTTCTAGTTCAGTTCTAGTTCAATTCTAGTTCAGTTCTAGTTCAGTTCTAGTTCAGTTCTACTTCAGTTCTAGTTCAGTTCTAGTTCAGTTCTAGTTCAGTTCAGTTCTAGTTCAGTTCTAGTTCAGTTCTAGTTCAGTTCTAGTTCAGTTCTAGTTCAGTTCTAGTTCAGTTCTAGTTCAGTTCTAGTTCAGTTCTAGTTCAGTTCTAGTTCAGTTCTAGTTCAGTTCTAGTTCAGTTCTAGTTCAGTTCTAGTTCAGTTCTAGTTCAGTTCTAGTTCAGTTCTAGTTCAGTTCTAGTTCAGTTCTAGTTCAGTTCTAGTTTTATTCTAGTTTTATTCTAGTTCAGTTCTAGTTCAGTTCTAGTTCAGTTCTAGTTCAGTTCTAGTTCAGTTCTAGTTCAGTTCTAGTTCAGTTCTAGTTCAGTTCTAGTTCAGTTCTAGTTCAGTTCTAGTTCTGTTCTAGTTCAGTTCTAGTTCAGTTCTAGGTCAGTTCTAGGTCAGTTCTAGTTCAGTTCTAGTTCAGTTCTAGTTCAGTTCTAGTTCAGTTCTAGTTCAGTTCTAGTTCAGTTCTAGTTCAGTTCTAGTTCGGTTCTAGTTCAGTTCTAGTTCAGTTCTAGTTCAGTTCTAGTTCAGTTCTAGTTCAGTTCTAGTTCAGTTCTAGTTCAGTTCTAGTTCAGTTCTAGTACAGTTCTAGTTCAGTTCCAGTTCAGTTCTAGTTCAGTTCTAGTTCAGTTCTAGTTCAGTTCTAGTTCAGTTCTAGTTCAGTTCTAGTTCAGTTCTAGTTCAGTTCTAGTTCAGTTCTAGTTCAGTTCTAGTTCAGTTCTAGTTCAGTTCTAGTTCAGTTCTAGTTCAGTTCTAGTTCAGTTCTAGTTCAGTTCTAGTTCAGTTCTAGTTCAGTTCTAGTTCAGTTCTAGTTCAGTTCTAGTTCAGTTCTAGTTCAGTTCTAGTTCAGTTCTAGTTCAGTTCTAGTTCAGTTCTAGTTCAGTTCTAGTTCAGTTCTAGTTCAGTTCTAGTTCAGATCTGGTTCAGTTCATTTCAACTACAGCTCTAGTTCCGTTCAATTACAATTTGAAAGAAAACAATAACTTTTTCGTGTCGGAATATTTATTTAACCAATAATTATTGCATTATAAGGAGTCGCTGTTATTTTCTCTCCCGGCATGTCATACATGGGCGATATATATTTCATGGAATTCTCCCATTGTTTATAACTTGGTTGTTTCGATTGCCAGCCAACAAATCCTTTAAAATATATAGACATTAACTTTTCAAATTATATTTTATAATTTTCCTTCATACCACTTGAAGTTTCTGGTAATTTATTTATGGCCATATTCTTCTCATTTGTATTTGTATTTGCATCATTAAACAAATATTTGTTTTGTTGAGTTTGCAAACATTTAATCAAATGTAAGCCACTACGTGGTCGACCACAACCAGACAGCCACCAGTGATTTGTGCATTTCCGGTGAAACAAAATATGAATCACCCTCATTAGAATAGTTAAATGGACATGTTTGATCTAATTATTTAGAAAGTATAAAATTTGTGCTTTACTATGAAACATAATTTTTTATATTTAATTTTATTTTAAATACTTATGTACCTATCAAATCTGCTTTCAATTTGTTATTAATTTTAGTTTGATTATACATTTCATTCCAGGGAGTTTCATCGTAGAATCGTGACCACTTTTGGGATAATTTCGTCGTGATTTATACTCTGTTTCAATTTGCTCTTTGCTGGTAAGTGAATAATAGTTTATTTTTAGAAAAATGTTTTATTTTTAAAATAAGAGTTACATATCTGCATCAATTTATTTATTTACTGTCTATGTTATAAGTAAATATTGAAATTTATAGTTTGTTTCCGTTTGCCAGATGTTTTACATCCGCCGGATATTGTTTTTATTTATTTCAGGTTGTAGTTGACTTTTTTTATTGTATTTTGTAAAATAAACATATAAATTTAAAAACATTTTTTTCTGTGAGTTTGAATTGTTTATTTACTTACATTTTACCAATTTTTTTCACTGGATCCGTATTCATGTTGTTTGATTTCGTTGTTGCTGTTGGTATCTTATCCTACTATTTGTCGATTATGGAACTCA